ACACACACACACACACACACACACACACAGCCCTGTGCTGAAATGGGCGGGACAGAAGCAAAAGGAAGTTCTTAAAGAGACAGAGGCCAATTTTAAGGTGTGTAGAAACAGATATGATGAAAAGTCAAGTTTATTTTCTATTTAAACATAAAAACAACATTTTAATAACACCTGAAGGTGACAACGTTAATTTATTACAGTGGAGTTTAATTATATTCCTGAGAAACGCATAATATTGCCCCTTTTAATATTGTTATTCGCTTCTGTCAGTGTGCCCCAGGGCAGCTGTGGCTACAGTGTAGTTTGCCATCATCAGTGTGTGAATGAGAGTGTGAATGGGTGAATGTCTGTTAGTGTAAAGCGCTTTGGGGTCCGGAGGGACTTGAAAAGCGCTCTATAAGTTCAGTACCATTTTACTTTAAAAAGATGTCCTCACTATAATACACTATTCAGTCCCTTTTTATAAATCGTAAGAAATCAGTCACGAAAAGCTTTTTCATGTTTTTTTAAAGAAAAAGACAAAAACATCATAGTAACAGAAGGTGATGGCTTGAAGACAAATGGGAGTTGTTTTCAAAGTTATATACAAAGATAATCCAGATTTATTCAGCCTAAGCTCTTTTTGAAAGGTTGAATCAAAGTCTAGAAGTCATCACAAAAAAAAAAAAATCCAGATTTTAATCTTCATGTAATCCCCCATCAATGTCAAAACCGCCCACATGAATCCTGATAATGAACTGGTTGAATTGACCTTAACGATTGTTCCAACATGGCTGCCCTTTGTGATTTCTCATCAAACAACAAGTCTTTACAGAACCCTGCTTGGGTGTTAGTGGAAAAGGGCATGTGGGAGCATAAACACCACTGAAATATTCATGTGGGCAAATCTAATCACAGACTCTGTCACTGCAGACACCTCCAGAAGGCTCAAAAGTACATTTGGACATCTCTGAGTCACGCATCCAATCAAAGTCACACATACCTACACATCAACTGTGCCTGCGCTGTTACAGAGAGAAATATCTCTGTTTCTATTTAAAACAAATGAATACTCGTGTGCAAAACGATGACCCAAACTATCTTGAGAAACTCTAAAAATAAATGACTAATAATGCTTAATATTTCAAACGCTTGTCAGTCATGACAGATTTTTCTTTTAAATTTTTTTTCCAAAAAGATGAACAAACCACTATAAAAACTGACATAAACGAGATTTTTTGTTCATTCCTGAATAAAAAAAGGACACAGAATCTGAGAAAATTACCACAATGAAGACAGAGGTGGTGGTACAGGTTGCTAGCCAACCAACTATGTTTCCATGGAAACAAAGACCTCCCTCGTTGGCGGGGTCCTAATTGATGAAGCTTTTTTTTTATTTCCTCACAAGAAAATGAAAAATCCACGTGGACGTCCGCTGTGGCTGCTCGCTGAGGGGGAACATCATGAGGCTATCAAAGCACCAGATTTAGATTAATATTTGTTTTCTGGCCCTTGACAAGCAGAGAGAGCATCATCACTTCCTATATATGTTTCAGATGATTCATCTTTGTTTGAGCAAAACTCAATCCTGGAGACGAGTTCTCATCATGCACAAAGACAATTTTACCACTGAAAGGGATGTTATTGTTGTAATTCTGACACAAAATTAGGATTAATGCATCTGCCCTGACAAAACCATTTAAAATCTGTTTGTTCTTTTTGCTTGTTCTCACCGTCTGTGGTTTAAACACGGGGAACACCGGATGATTATTTTACAAAGATGTTTTATTGCCAGAGACAAAAGCAAAAGTTTTTATTACTCAGACAAAACTTAAACAGACATGATCTATAATATTGGGACATTTTTGAGCTGATGGTTAATATTTCCACCTGTTCATCATCATCATCATCATCATCATCATCATCATCATCATCATCATCACGTACTGCTGCAGCTCCATGGACCAATACACGTCTAGGTACCATGTAAAATATTTATTTCAGTTTCAGTTTCAATTCTTTATTCATTTCATTAAAACAAAACCAATAATTATATATATAATATAGAATAAAAAGAAAAATATAAAAAATGAGAGAAAATATATATATGTATATCAAAATCACAAATAAAATGAAATGAAAGGCAGCAGAGAGAAGAAAAAAAATCTTATAATATCTGCCCCTTTTTTCTAGAATTAGTTCATAAAACAAAAAAATCTATGTTATTAACAAAACAAAAGACAAGAACATCTGATCCCTCTAGAACAACAGTTTATATAGATTCACCTTATGCTATATTTGACTTTCTGTATGCATAACTGTGTCTAAATGTCTGTAAAACACTTTCCCCTGAAGTCTAACCTTGATCTAAAGACTGTGTTCATGTGTGAATAAAAACTACTGCAGGAGAATAAAGCGATATGAACTGTGTCAAATATTAAAGCTGCATCCTTCAGAGAAGAAAATAGCATTTAATTCACAAAGTGCTACACAAGACACCTTCAAAGCTGATAAAGGATCTCTGACACCTCATTTTATCCCAATCTTTAATTGAACAAATGAG